AGAGGTCAGCCTTCCCATCACGTCTGTGGCACACTCACCCAGGGTAGAGGTTAGCCTTCCCATCACGTCTGTGGCACACTCACCCAGGGTAGAGGTTAGCCTTCCCTTCACGTCTGTGGCACACTCACCCAGGGTAGAGGTCAGCCTTCCCATCACGTCTGTGGCACACTCACCCAGGGTAGAGGTTAGCCTTCCCATCACGTCTGCGGCACACTCACCCAGGGTAGGGGTTAGCCTTCCCATCACGTCTGTGGCACACTCACCCAGGGTAGGGGTTAGCCTTCCCTTCACGTCTGTGGCACACTCACCCAGTGTAGAGGTTAGCCTTCCCATCACGTCTGTGGCACATTCACCCAGGGTAGAGGTTAGCCTTCCCATCACGTCTGTGGCACACTCACCCAGGGTAGAGGTTAGCCTTCCCATCACGTCTGTGGCACACTCACCCAGGGTAGAGGTTAGCCTTCCCATCACGTCTGTGGCACACTCACCCAGGGTAGAGGTTAGCCTTCCCATCACGTCTGTTGCACACTCACCCAGGGTAGGGGTTAGCCTTCCCATCACGTCTGTGGCACACTCACCCAAGGTAGAGGTTAGCCTTCCCATCACGTCTGTGGCACACTCACCCAGGGTAGAGGTTAGCCTTCCCATCACGTCTGTGGCACACTCACCCAGGGTAGAGGTTAGCCTTCCCATCACGTCTGTGGCACACTCACCCAAGGTAGAGGTTAGCCTTCCCATCACGTCTGTGGCACACTCACCCAGGGTAGGGGTTAGCCTTCCCATCACGTCTGTGGCACACTCACCCAGGGTAGAGGTTAGCCTTCCCATCACGTCTGTTGCACACTCACCCAGGGTAGGGGTTAGCCTTCCCATCACGTCTGTGGCACACTCACCCAAGGTAGAGGTTAGCCTTCCCATCACGTCTGTGGCACACTCACCCAGGGTAGAGGTTAGCCTTCCCATCACGTCTGTGGCACACTCACCCAGGGTAGAGGTTAGCCTTCCCATCACGTCTGTGGCACACTCACCCAGGGTAAAGGTTAGCCTTCCCATCACGTCTGTGGCACACTCACCCAGGGTAGAGGTTAGCCTTCCCATCACGTCTGTGGCACACTCACCCAGGGTAGAGGTTAGCCTTCCCATCACGTCTGTGGCACACTCACCCAGGGTAGAGGTTAGCCTTCCCATCACGTCTGTTGCACACTCACCCAGGGTAGGGGTTAGCCTTCCCATCACGTCTGTGGCACACTCACCCAAGGTAGAGGTTAGCCTTCCCATCACGTCTGTGGCACACTCACCCAGGGTAGAGGTTAGCCTTCCCATCACGTCTGTGGCACACTCACCCAAGATAGAGGTTAGCCTTCCCATCACGTCTGTGGCACACTCACCCAGGGTAGAGGTTAGCCTTCCCATCACGTCTGTTGCACACTCACCCAGGGTAGGGGTTAACCTTCCCATCATGTCTGTGGCACACTCACCCAAGGTAGAGGTTAGCCTTCCCATCACGTCTGTGGCACACTCACCCAGGGTAGAGGTTAGCCTTCCCATCACGTCTGTGGCACACTCACCCAGGGTAGAGGTTAGCCTTCCCATCACGTCTGTGGCACACTCACCCAGGGTAAAGGTTAGCCTTCCCATCACGTCTGTGGCACACTCACCCAGGGTAGGGGTTAGCCTTCCCTTCACGTCTGTGGCACACTCACCCAGGGTAGAGGTCAGCCTTCCCATCACGTCTGTGGCACACTCACCCAGGGTAGAGGTTAGCCTTCCCATCACGTCTGCGGCACACTCACCCAGGGTAGGGGTTAGCCTTCCCATCACGTCTGTGGCACACTCACCCAGGGTAGGGGTTAGCCTTCCCTTCACGTCTGTGGCACACTCACCCAGGGTAGAGGTTAGCCTTCCCATCACGTCTGTGGCACACTCACCCAGGGTAGAGGTTAGCCTTCCCATCACGTCTGTGGCACACTCACCCAGGGTAGAGGTTAGCCTTCCCATCACGTCTGTTGCACACTCACCCAGGGTAGGGGTTAGCCTTCCCATCACGTCTGTGGCACACTCACCCAAGGTAGAGGTTAGCCTTCCCATCACGTCTGTGGCACACTCACCCAGGGTAGAGGTTAGCCTTCCCATCACGTCTGTGGCACACTCACCCAAGGTAGAGGTTAGCCTTCCCATCACGTCTGTGGCACACTCACCCAGGGTAGGGGTTAGCCTTCCCATCACGTCTGTGGCACACTCACCCAGGGTAGGGGTTAGCCTTCCCATCACGTCTGTGGCACACTCACCCAGGGTAGAGGTTAGCCTTCCCATCACGTCTGTTGCACACTCACCCAGGGTAGGGGTTAGCCTTCCCATCACGTCTGTGGCACACTCACCCAAGGTAGAGGTTAGCCTTTCCATCACGTCTGTGGCACACTCACCCAGGGTAGAGGTTAGCCTTCCCATCACGTCTGTGGCACACTCACCCAGGG